TTCATGTCGCTTCTCGTTTACTAGGGATCTAAAGGGTTTTCCTGCATACTTCTTACCAATAGAAGTGCCCTAATGCATAGACACTATTCATTTAGAAGCAGACTAAATTCTGTATCTTGTAAGGGACTTGGAACAACTGACGGTATAAAGTGTTTTGATTGGTCGCTTGATTGAATTGATATAATTCACGGTAATTCATCCATTAATCTTACAAGTAAATATTTTGTGGGCATTTTAATACTTATCTAATAGACATCGGATGTAAAGTCACATTAATTTTGATATACGCAATAGCAGAGACAGTATTATATGTCTCTGGCAATAGTTAATCCAAACCACTAAAAGGTTCGGATAAGTTGGATAATGTATTTATTTGAATATCGATCTTTAAATTGAACTTCGGGGGAATGCTCGATGTTTTCTATATACGATTGATCATACTATTTTTCATTTTTTTTAAGGGGGTCTTTTTTGGGAGATTGGCCGGGTGGGTGTGTAATAAACCACATTTTAAAGTGGTGCAACAAAGCGATCATTTGAGGGGGTATTGCCAAAAAAATTATGTATACATATATACACATTGATTTTGCTCGATGTTTTCTATATACGATTGATCACACTATTTTTCATTTTTTTAGGAGGGTCTTTTTTGGTAGATTGGCCGGGTGGGGTGTGTAATAAACCACATTTTAAAGTGGTGTAACAAAGCGATCATTTGAGGGGGTATTGGCAATTTGCCAAAGAAATTATGTATCATGACATATACACATTGATTTGTTTGTAAATTTTGCTATTTTGCTGTGTTTACTGTTTGTTTTTTCTTTCGTATATTTTTTAATATGGGAGTACCGTATTTCGTCGGCCTGTCGCTTATCTTTGGTGATAAGTACTGTCAACACGGCACATTTTTGTTTTTTTTTCTATAACACAAATACAATTGTAATTTTGGGTAAACTTAAATGAGACAGAAACATAATAACACAATTAAACAACAGAAACGACATCTATATATCTGCTACAATTCATAGCTCCCTTGAAAGCAAACCAGATAGAATATAAAAAAAAAACAAAGCTGTAGTTAGGGCTTTGGCAAATAGACGTAGCATACTATGTAGGAAGAGGCTTTGGCAAACAGACGTAGCATTTTATATACTAGTATAGCATTTAGATTGGGTACTCGATAAAAGGCCACCACATTTAAGTGATTTATGTATTGTAGTATCTGTCTATGGGGTGACACCAAATCAAGGAAGTCTAAATGGAGAAACGAGACTAACGATAGATGGCAAAGGGTTTTCAGCGGACCAGTACAACGAAGGGAATGAAGTTAAACTAGTTTCATCAACAGCAGTTTATGATTGCCCTGTCCACAAAGATGGTACAACGGAAGTACAAATCATGTGTTATACTCCTCAGTAAGTTCACCATTGTTATTTCATCTACAGCTAGAATATATGGTAAAATAGAGCTTTTAAAAATAAATCATATGGCAGGACGACCTTCCGGTTATCAGGGTTTGCATTAATCCATTTAAGAGCATCTAACAGAAATTCGTATCAATTATCAAGGTGCAAGCGTGTTCAAGCTACCATTATTTATTGAAAATTTTACACTAACTAGTATATCTGAAATCAAAAATTGTTGACATCTTAATTTTTCACCAATTATGTATCGACTGATGTGCAATTGTAACAAAAAATTTGTTCCGGCTTGACATTTGTTCCGCCGGAACAAATTTCATAGGAAATATGTTCCACCGGAATTTATATCACAGAAAATATGTTCCGGCACTGTAAAATTTGTTCCGGAACTAATTTTATGATTAAATGTGAAATAAGTTCCGGAACAAAAATCATAGCTCCATGAATTTTGTTCCAATTAATATTAAGAGTTTTAAAAAAGCTAAATAAGTTCCTGTGATGTATATTTTAAACGAACATGTACGTATTTCATAGAAACCAATGAATAAGTTCCTCTCAAACCTATTTTCACAGAAAATAAGTACCTTTGTAACAAATTGCAAGCGAAATATTTTCTTGTTACATTTGAATTATAATGCAAGCTGAGTGCTGTACTGAGTGTGCTTGCATGGCATACATTTGCAATTGAAGGCATGACTGTAACTAAAGGATGAAGATAAGAAATAAAAGCGATGGTAATGTTTCATAATTTGTATTTATGTTTAATGTGGTATTCCTCCTTGGTTTTTGTTAACTGTCATGGCCGCGTGTTCTAGTCATACATGTACTTAGGTCATCGCACAGTTTCAAAAGAGTGTGTCTTTTGTTTCTACATGTCTTTTGATATAACTGATCAGTCACTTTGTCCTTTTCAAATAAGTACATATGTTCATCTTTAAATATACTTTTTTTCTGAATGATTGATTTTTCTTATTCTACTCTTTTCTGGCTGAAAAGTGTCATTTTGATATTTTTTACGGAGTATATAATTAAACATTTGCTATACTCCACAGGATCCGAATTGGATGATTTACACTTTTTACTTTTTTATTATTGATATAATACTTATTTTTATAATGCACTTGAATGATAACTTTAAACTCACTGATGACAAATGCTCAGTATATAAGATAACTTGTTTAACCAGTGGAACATATTTCACAGACAAGGAACTTATTTCACCAGGTGAGGAACAAATCTCACAAACCCAGAACTTATTTCAACAGATAAGGAACAAATCTCATAAACCCGGAACTTATTTCACCAGGTAAGGAACAAATTTCACCAACCCGGTACTTATTTCACCAGGTAAAGTGTGGAACATATTTTATAGAGATGGAACAAATTATATAGAAATTATCTGTGAAAAAAGTTCTCCCAGAACATATTTTCTGTGATATTAGTTCCACTGGAAATTTTTTCACAGGAACAAATTTTGGCTTACACAATAAGAAACGAATATTATTTCACGGTCGGTGTAGCAATATATAATGATTATAAATTGCTAGTGGACCAAAATGTGCTAATATTTTGAGTGTCCCTGAGTTAGTCCCGTTAACTGATATGATTTTCTGTTTCTCAACCAGTACCACTACTCGTTTGCCAATGTTTGCATACGATATTGCTTAATTAACTCTATTTACCACGTGGTTGAATGTTCTTTCATCGACGTGATTTAACTGTCCCTAGTGTTTTCTTACATCACACTACATCTACTGAAATGTTTAACTGCATGCATCGACACTTGTGGGCTTTACTATTAAAATGCTTGGTCTGTCGATGTAGTATAAGTTCGGTTCAACCAGGTCCAACTAATATAAAACAAATTGATATCTCTCTTCACAACTTAGTTGAGTATTTTCTATCGAGATTGAAATTCAGCCAATTTCTTTGCCTGCATTTTAATGGAAATGGTGGGGAAAAAAACACTGGCCAGACGGACAAGTAAGCCAAATTCTCCAAAATCTTCATACAAGCTTTTTGAAAAGCACATACTTGTTCAAGGTTTCTTCTGATTCCCACGTGCTGGTTCCTTGTTTAAAAATTGCATGTTTCCTTTGTCTAAGGAAAAGTTAGATTAAATAATTACTTAATCTAATCATGATATTGAAACATATTTAAAACTAGGTTACTGAAACATGTCTCGATTTTGTAAAGGTAAATTGTTACAGAATTTTGTAATCAATCACAATGAGTGAAAGAGAAACTGTCCCAATTCATGCAGCACGACTGCCACTCAGTTTACTGTCTTTCTTTATACAAACAATTTTCTTTCATGCAGGTTTATAAGTCAAAAGCACAGGCACTTGTCTCTGAAAAAAATGACCCATATACTTTATTATATCACAGGTAATTTTTTTTTAGAGACAAGTGCCTGTGGTCAGGCAGACAACTTTATTTATATTTACTGTAACAATTAATTAGTATTAACTGAGATTACCACAGATATAACACTTATTATATTGTTATAATAAAGTATATAGATAATTTTTTTTCAGAGACAAGTGTCTGTGGAGATTACTATAACATATAAGACATATATAGTAATCTCGGCTATTAGTAAACCTTAAAAAAATTGAACCATCATGTAAAAAACAAGAGACATATATAAATACAAAATAAAATATTGATTTATATGTCTCTGCATAAACAAATAAAAAATTTAACACTGTGAAAAATTAGGAACATTTCGAGTATAGATTTTCAGGGCATAACATGTATTCTGTTAATTATTAATAACCCCCTACGTTTGTTTATGTATCATACATTATATAAAACCTTGACCATGATTTGACCTAAGTTACATGTCCTCTACCATAACATGCGAACTTATAATTATTGCAGTGTACAGAACTAACTGTTAAATGAAAGCCTTTACAAATGATATCTACTATAGAGTGATCAAAGAGAAAAGAATGGGCACCAATAAATCATGTGTCTAGCATATTAAAATTTACTTAATTTATGACATTCGTTTTTACTTAATAATAATTGTGGCAGAGACTTAATATAATACATAAATTTGATTGGTCCTTATTTAGATTCTGCTCGAGTTGCAAATCTCTTGTATTATGTGTCTAATTGTGGCATATAATTTTTTCTGCAGTTTTATAGATATATAGAATATATAATCCTGAAGTTCTACAGTAAACATAATCATTCATAGACTAATATATTGATGATCAACTGAGTCATATTTTTAGCAAGAAAATTTCTTTCACCTACCTCAAAATAAATATTGTTGATAAATTCAAGTATGAAGAAATAGAACAGAAAAAATGAACTCTAGATGTCTTGGTTTTATTATGTTGTAGGATTGCTGTCTCGTTTAGTCATCTCTTTTTATTTATATTTGTAGTTGCAGATTGTTGTGTGTAGTAGATGATAGATAGTTTTAGTATAAAAGAAAACTTCATGACCAAAAATAGATTTGAATTTTAGTCATATTAAATTGACACAAAATTGAAAATGATTGAAGTTTATTTATTTTGATTTATTTATTATGAACTATAGCAGAAATAATACTCATGTTTTAGGCGTATGGTGGCGGATGCTTACTATATTAGAGTATCAGTAGATGGAGATGATGTTCCATTAAGTGGTCACTGTAATGGAAATGCAAACAGTGGAGATTGTAGGTTTACTGTAAGTTATATCTTGTATTTGTATAGGCCTGAAAATGTAATGTATTTCAATCTTACTCGTAGATAACTTAGAACAACTTCTTCATCACTGCAAGATAAGAGATATTATTTTGTATCTGAAATTGCAATGAATATTAATTCTTCAAATCTTTCATAATTATGTTAATTTTGTTGATAAACAGGTAGGACAATAGGTTGATCACTTTACTTCAGAAATTTCACTGTAACATCATAATTAAGCCAAACATGTCAAAAAAATTTGTCTAATACACAGCTTTTTTAAAACTTTATATGAGTAAATGTTACAGCTTTACTGAAAAAAATATTGAATTTATATCAACATCTTTGTATGAGACATAACATACATGTAGCATAATATCTATTTAGGTAAGACTGTTGCTTATATCATAATATTATACGATACATTATTCTTTTCAGGCTACACAAAGCAGTACTCCAACAATTACACAAGTTGAGCCTGTTTCCCAAGCATCTCTGCCAGGTAATTTATAAAATATATTGTGCAAGTTGCTGTGTAAGGTTATTTTCTATGTGCTATCAAGTAATAAATATTTTATGTCCACAGAACACAAACCATAGTCTTCTTTGAACATGTTCATTGTAAATGTGGAATTTTTTAGTGGGTTATTATTAACACTTTTTTAAAGCATAAACTTTTTACTTGATGGTTGAATTAACTCCTCAAACAATCATTTTGCCATTCATGATTATAGTTGTTGTCAACTTTCAGCAATATAAAATATGCTGTGATTTAGTGTATAACATGAACATTGTAATAGGAAATTGGTCATCAGTTTACATTTTGTGTTATTATTTTAGGTATAATTATGAAATTATATGGCAAAATTTATTCTGGTGTATATGGAAGCAATGTGCCATCGGATGAAATCACAAATGGTGTTACAGAAAGAATTTTAAGGTTAGTACATATTTATTTGCTCAAAATGCTCCTTATTGTTTATTTTGATGAATTATTGATCTGAAAATAAGTCAACTGTTTTTTTCAAAGTTAATGTACATTAGTCTGATTAATATACTGCTCCAGATATTTCATATCAGTAAAAGGGATTTGGTTTTAATCAGTTTATAGAAACATTTAATTCTACAATTATAACAATATATTTCAATTATTGCTATACTTATTTTGAAAAAAAAATGAAAAAATGGTATCTTATATTATCATTATTATTCATGATTTTACAAGATTGAGTTATCTGCTGAAATGTTATAAATTCAAAAGTAACTTTTGAATTGAATGAAATTTAAATGCTTTTAGGAAAATGATGTTATAAAAATTACAATACTAGAAACACTTTTAGCTTGTTTGTAAATGCCCTTTTTACTTAAATCATTACTGTAGTTTGAGGTCAAATTAGTAAATATTACATATATAGTTATTAAACTATTAATAATTTTACTTTTGAACTTTGCAGAGTGTATGCCCATGCACAGTTGTGTGAATTAAGAGGAGAAAATGATACATTGTAAGTTGAACATTCCATTAACCTTTAAAATAGTTATACCTCCCTTTACAACACCACCAGTACATTACTGATGCTTGGAAGGTAGGAAGGTGTAATATTTTAATTTATAAAAATGATGACATAATCCTGGTAAGATTATAAAAAGATGAAGAAAAAAAATTTTGTTTAGGAAAGGGCAATATAATATAGATGTCATCTCTTCTATGTTTATATTAGTTATACTATATTGTAAAACACTGACATTATTTGCAAGATACAGATTAAGTGCTGAGATAGCAACCATGTAATTGAATTCACCTAAAGTCTTTTTTAATATAATGAGTTCTCTTTTTTCAGTTATGGTTTAGAAATGGACAATGATGGAAGTAGTACTAATGGCTTTATGAAATGTTTAACGAAGGGAACTTTTGTTGGTATGTTTATAAATCTATATGTATTTACAAAGCACTGCAGAAAACCATTTTGAATTTGATTTATCAAAGATTTTTTGCACTCGGCTATTATAATAAAAATTTTGAAAAAGCTACAATGAATCTGTTGATTAAATATTCAGAAAAAACTATAGAGGGTTTTTGTAGTTTGTCAATGAAAATATTACTTATTTCATATATATATTCTATGGTTATGCTATAACATTATCAATTGTAAGGTTTAAGGTTTAAGGTATGTACGAAAAAAAGGTTAAAACACTCTAATATATATATAATCCTAAGTATAGTTACAATTGATAAAAAATTAACAGTAATTAATGCCCTTAGAAGGAGCAAAAACTGTATTGTATATTTGTTTTTTTGCTGAGGTATTTAGTAAAAAGTTATTCATCTTTAAGGTTATTTTCATCGTATGAAAATTAGACCCCATTATTTTTCTTTTGTAGGAAACACCAATGCCAGTTTTATTTTAGAAGGAAAATATGGAAGGTTTGTTATACAAATGTATTTGATTTTCAACATATTTGATAAAACTAGACTGTATAATGTTCTCATTGTCTTTTGCTTCATTATGGTATGATAACTTATATTAGAGTCAAATAATGGTTAAACTATAAGGTGGAAACGCTTGATAGAATTAGGTTGACTCTAGAAAAAAATCAAATACTTTTCTTTAAATATTTAATATACTCATTTTCTACATTTATTTTTATTAAATGAAAGGGATTAGATCTATACTGTTACCATGCTTTCTCTTTGTAGGTCAATGCCTGATGCCAATTTGTTGCGAGTTTCTAGTAATGATGACATCTACATGTTCCAGACATACGCCAAAGTGACAGGTGTAAATCCATCTACCGGCAGTGTTAAAGGTGGAACACTGATTACTATTTCTGGCCAGTACTTTGATGAGACAAATTCTGCAGTCAGAGTGTTGGTAGGAGGTAAGTTTCCATGGCATTTTGTAAAAGATTTATTATGTTGTAAGCTAGACTATGATGTTTACTTCATCATAATAAACAATTTAAAAAGAACAACAAATTATTTAGTAAACAAAGTTCCATGTAGAAAAATAGATATTTGCTTTACATGAATCAATTTTATTAAGGACGAAAATCCCCAGAATACATGAATTGTTGTATTTCTTGTATCCATGTGAGTAATTGTGACATACTTTTGAGTAGGAAATGGAAAACTCTCATTTCCATTGAAAATTTTTAAATAACAACAAGAGTCTGAAGCTTTATTTTGTATTGTAATTTAAGTTTGTGACTTAAACTCAATGTATGGAGAACTATATGTTGTACAGAAAGATTTTGATTTGACGTAATATACTTTGGAGTTATTTCCCTTGGCAGCCATGTTGAAGTTGAAACTGAATGATTTTCTGTTTTGACTAAAACTAGATCATAGAGATGAAATATGCAAGGCTTAAAGAAATAAATTTTTCATTAAACTACTTTTTCTAAAGTAACAAGTTGAATTTGGTTTATATATGAAGGAATTTATGCACATTGACATTTAACATGGTGACAAAGGGGAAATAACTCTTGCTTTAATTGTGTCATTCATAAGCTATCTATTATAAAGAGTTTTACCTAATTAATAATATAGTTGAATAATGAGAGAAAATAGAAAATTATTAATTATTCATATTTGTTATAGGCACAGAATGTGAAGTAACACAAGAAATAACAGATAGTCAAATTATTTGTAGAACAGCTGATCAGTTATCTGCCCCTAGATATGCAGGTTGGTATTGCACACAAATAGCCTGATGATTTTCAAAATTTGAAATAAGAAAAGAAACTTCAATTCACATTTAGCAACTTGAATATAAACTGTTTTACCTCTGTCCTTCCATCCATCCGTCAGTCTGTAAGTCCATCCAGCTATACCTTGTGATGCATTTTCAGATTCATCACTCAACAATTAACTTCCTGCATGTTTATCGAACACTTGTATCATTTTACACATGATAGCCAAGTTTAAAATTTTTATCAAATTTTTCTCAGGAACTACAATACAAGGATTTCTGAAATTTGGTTTCAGGGTTTATATAAGTCAGCTATACCGTGTGATGCGTTTTCAGATTCATCACTCAACAACTTCCTGTTTACCGACCACTCACATATTTTTTACACTTGCGGCAGGGGTATCATCAGTGAGCAGAAGCTTGCAGTTTCACTTGTTTTTTCATTACTGCAATAAATGTATATTATATACAGTGTTCTCAATAAAATATTCTTGGTATGAAGTTTTTTTCTGTACAACATTACACCTTACAAACAAAATAAGCTGTAACATTATTTTTAGCATATTTTCTACAATACCAAATCAAGGAGAAAGTTATAGAATCAAGGTTTTTAGTAACCTTTGTAAGAAATGTAAATGATGAGTGAATCAAAGTCCTGTTAAACACTGATGTCTCTTAGATTTCATCTAATTTAAATCAAATGGAAATGGCTTATGATGAATTATTAGCTGCCAGCAGAATCCAATAAACAGAAAAAAGATTCAACACATTTATTGGAAATTAAGTATATTTTGTAATATTATTGTTTACTTTTGCAGGTAACAGAGGATTAAATTATGAAGAGTTCAGTAGTACATACCACAGCTTCTCAGATTTACCAAATTTGGCGGACTTACTGACCAATGCAACAGATTATTCATCATCAGTCATTGACGAGTTTTACTTTACCGAGAATGATTTAGATGGATATTCAACAAGGACACATGGTTTTTTTATACCTCCACACACTGGTCAATACACATTACACGTAAAATGTGATGATTCTGCCATTTTGTATCTGAGTACAGATGACGATCCTGTTAATAAGGTATTATGTGAATGAATTAAACTACACTACTGTGGATTCATTTATTTTCATTGGTACCAATTTTCGTGGAATGAGGAAAACTTGCATTTTCGTGGATATTTGATTTCGTGGTTTTTCAAAAGTCTGCATATAATCATACAGCAAATTTGTAATTCGTTGAACATTTAAATTCGTAGTTTCCCTGTACCCACGAAATCCACGAAAATTAGTATCCAACGAATAATAATGAATTCACAGTAAATCACCCCAATATACTGCAGCAAACCTTATAAATATCCATCCGTGGAGTCATTGGAGTTAGATTCTCTTATATTTTGTAGACGTGAATTTTGCTTCACAATATTACCATAATTCAATCATGTGATTTTGGGAAAATGATTATTTCAAATATATTTTCAATAACTGGAGGGCAATTTTTATGAAAATACAAAATAAGTTAATGGAAAACTGTGTTTGATATATATTTATAAGACTGTTACATACAAAATTTAAATATTTAATATTTATACAAGAAATGAATTTGTTTTAAGGTACAAGTAGCATCCTGTCCAAAGTACTCGTCAAAATGGACAACTCATTCAGAACAAACATCAAGCAGAATGCAGCTAGTAAAAGATAAATAGTAAGTAGTAATAACTATTTCTGGTACAATGTCTATATATTTATATACAAAATCTAGTTAATCTTTGAAAAAAACATGGACTTTCCAGTATCCTTTGAACTATTTATGGTGTGATAACTATTAATGAAATAGTCTTTTGAATTTTTCTTCGTTTTTTTTTAATTAGAAGTGCACTGAATGTGTTTTGATTAACACAATATTATTAATAATAAATGATGGATCTCTTTTTTCAGTTACTACATTGAAGTATTACATTCAGAGAATACTGTTGGTTCAAATTTTAAAGTTGCAGCCCGCCATTTAGATACAAAGTTTGTAAGCTCTATGACAGGTTTTGCCAAAGAAGAAATACAGAAAATTAAAGTTACTTCTACAGGTATTCAATTTTTTTTACAGAGATTTAAAAAAAACAATTAAGGAAAAGCATTGCTATTGTGAATGCATACAATATATAGACAAATTTAAATTAGAAAAAAAAGATTATCAATGAATAATTGAGGCTGTGCTCAGAAGTATACATTTATTGGATTCAAAAGGAAAATAATGCAGTTTATAACAATTGCCAAATTGAAACTTAATTTTATAGTTGAAAGAGAAATTCAGCAAGTGACAGTGAGCAATTTAAATGCTGGTTCAGCCACCAATGAGGTACAGGAAGTCACCATTGAAGAGAATTCTGGATCTTTAAGTGATGCCACCTATCAACTTTGTATCTATGGCGTCTGTACAAGTAAGTAATCCTGATATCAAATTCTACATTGGTCATAGTTTACCGATCTTATTTAAGAATTGAATGCTTCTTTTTGTAAATTCATTGGGGTGTAAAAGCGTTGACCGAAGTACATTTTGTATGAAGCGCGGAAGCGCTTCATTCTAAAAATGTATGCACAGTCAACGCTTTTACAACCCTATGAAATTACTAAAAGAAGCATTCAATACTTATAATTACATTTTTTCGCTATGATCATGAAAACACGATTACTATCAAGTTTTTCTTTTATTTACCTGTGCACTTTATTGTGGAAATGTATGTCATCATGTATGTTACAATTCATGCAATTCATTTTGAAATGAAGAATGACGCGAGATTGCTAACAGCCAATCAGAATAACGTATAATAATGAAACATACATCTAATGTAATTATAATAGCATCAAGTTCTCGGTCATCAGCTCAATTTCTGGTACAGTCAAACCAAAGACAGATGCACAAAATTGTTTATGCTGTTAGTAACATGACATTTATGAGTAAGAGCAAATACTGTTTGTCTAATAATTAGAATTTTTCTGTATGGGATTACATGTTTTCTAATGAACTGTGACGTAGTGAGAAATCATGTTAAAAATCAGGTTTAGTATATCAGTCCAGTACAAAGGAGGGTTTATACATACAGTATAACTGATCTTATTCTAAACATGACAGAGATTGCCTACATTAATTTATCCAACAAATGAATTTAATGTATTTAGCATCCAAAGTGAATATGAAGATCACCAAAAAATTTGCAGACAAATTATATTTGCAAGAAAATGGTCACTTTAAGGGACACTGTTTGTTCATCAGTAGACATTTGTTTACTTCACTAGGCAACAGAGTATTTAAACTTTTTAATTATATTTAATTGAATCAAAGATATATAAATTTATATTGCATTGCATTTCAGAAATGGTACAGACAATTACAGATGGTACTGAAATTGGAAATGCATTAAGTGACCTCCCTTGCTTCGATAGTACTGAGTCTGTATCTGTGACATCTAAAACCTTAACATCAGGTGCCCCAGGAGCAAAGCTGACTGTTACATTCAATTCTGAAAGAGGTAATTAGAAGGCATTTTCATTTAAACATACGTTACCAAGTACTTTTTAAACAGGTTATGAAATCAAGTTATCTTTTGATATTTTTGACATTATAAATAAGGATTTTGTTACTTTCTATGCCAGAATTAATGAAATTCAGTATGAAAAAATACTTTCCAAATAAATTCAAATAATGCCTTACAATTTCAGGAGATTTTCCAGATATGAGTGTGAGGACCACACCAGGTATTGGTGGTGAAACATTGACAGCACGTGTATCGGAAAAAAAATCCGGTGTACCAAGTGGAAAGTACTTCACATTAACCATGGAATCTATTCCTACTCCTCTGATAGCAGTAGATGCTTCAGCTAATGATGTGAGTATAACTCAAATGTTTGTGTATGTATTCACAACTTATTGATAAGCTTTAAAAGACACATTCTAAGATAAAGCACATATTACATGTCTTCATTCTGTAAAAACCTACTGTCAATTAAGATACAGAGAAAATTGGCATAAGAATATTTTTGTAAAGGACATAACAAATACTTCTTTGTTATCGTCTTCAGTTGTCAGGATAACAGCAGAAAATTTTAATCTGCAATGCGATCAATATTACAACTCATTTCTATGTCATTACAGGTTAAAACAGCTTTGGAAGAATTGTTTGGTACCAGATGTCCTTCTTTCTTAACTAACCCAGCAGCTAAGAAAAAATTTATCAATTACGAATCTGGTTTACCAAGTGGTGTTAGAGGAACGAAAACCAATGAAGTAGAACCTTTTTGTGGGCGATATGTGGTCAAAAACCCAAATTACTTGTACAATGGTGGAGACTTAAAATTGTCAAGCAGTGTTACCACGGTAATTCCACATTTTTAGCTTTTTTACAAGGAGAAATTGAATAATTTCAAATTTTAGTTTAAAGTTCAATATTATCAGAACTACTTACAGAGAACTTTGAAATAACTTTTGATTTCAATATTCTTACCGGTAATGCTATTTATCATTAATCCATTTTTACTTGTGTTTTTGTTGTAACAATGCATGTATTATCATTAATAATATAAGTATTAGATACACCTCGAGGGTGTTAGCTCAAATGGGTGTATCTAATTTACACGAAGATATTATTGTCAATGTAGAATGATAGTTTTCAATAATTTAGGAGGGGGTCTTTCAGCGATTTGATCATATGTTATTGAAAGGCATGATGAATGCAGACTATCAGATTTCATTTAACGACATCTTGGTGTAAAAAGTTATGTAAAGGAAAACACATACAAGTTATCATCACTTTTGTTTCTTTATTGTATGCTTCACTTGTCAGGATATTAGGAAATTTTGAATACACTACAATTAATGTTTATTTTTATATAAGCCATAATTGTATTAACAATTAAATGTTTTGTTTCAGCTATGTTTTGCCTACCAGGGTAATCAGTTACAAAATTACGTCAGAGTGAGTTACACTTATGAGGATGATGTGGAGGAATTACATAATTCTGCTATTAATATTGATGTTGCAATGGCTTCTGCTGAAGGGTAAGAGTAAATACATGTTTTTTTTTTTTTATTTAATTCCTATAACGATTAATTAATTCCTTCTGGACAAGTATTTTCTTGTAACTTTTTAAGAGCATAATTTCTTACATTTTGTTTGAGAAATAATTTTCAAAACTTAGTTTGTTTTACTTAAATTATATTATATTAGGATTGATATCTTATATCCCCTGTTTTGACTGAAGAAAGGAATTTGTAACTTTTACTTAGAAAAAGGGAGATAACTTTTGGAATTGAAAACAGTGATCAACTTTGAAGGAGTAATACCACCATTGTTTTTCCCCTATTAGTCTTTGTTAAATTGGGACATTTCAAAAAATTGTGCAGAATTTATCGTCATTTCAAACAAAGAAATATTTGGCATGAGTAAAGTTTATCCTGTCCAGTACTACAGTAAAAATTTCACATAACATTTCATTGCATATAAGATAATAACCATCACCAGAAGTTAACTAATCCAATTTTCACCCCCTTTTTTCCTGTTTACAAGCTTTAGTAATCATGTCACCTCAAGTTCCAAAATATTTAATAGAAACACCAAATAAAAAAAGAATGGTGCTTTGAGACACCCAAGATATATGTTAATGGCTCACAATTTTTTTTCTGCAATGAAATGCAGGGTTAATTTCAACTCTCAAATTCAATGGAATATTTTTCTTCACCCTTTTTGGTATGAAACTGTATGTGATTTACTATGATTTGGTGGTATTACATCTTGAACAGCAATAAAACTGATCAATTGTTCTGTAAAATTTATGTAACCAAACTATTGTCTAATTGAACCTTCAAAATATAGATGTAATATATTTCCATTTGAAGTCATCATGTTACAAAACAGAAAAGTTGAATAAACATATATTATGGACTAGAAGTAATTATATGATTTAATGTTACAGGTGGCATTACACATGTATTGATATGCTAAGTGAATTAAAGTCAGCTCGTCCTACAATAGCTTATTTCTGGGTCAGAAAGGTTCAAGTCTACAAACTTGGATCTGCAAAGCAGTATTACATTGATGATGTTTACATTGGCCGTGAAGCAGTTCTGACAAATGCTACTGGTAAGACAACTTTCATCCAGATAAGTTCCATTAAAGTTAACTTGCAAAACACTTGCCTATCACCACTTAGCGTGAGTTTGAACTTTGTTTTGTGAATCACAAATAGAGGTTCACTGGACTTGCAAGTGAATGTGAAAGGTTTTGTCTGTTACCTGCCTGAAGTCGATTGTTTCTGCTGGGAAGTCCAGCTTACTTTGCCTCTAAAGCTGACTGCCAGAATATTTAAACTTTATATAGAAAGTGCTATTAAACAATAACAATCAATCAATCAATCTTTTATCTGATTTTATTTTTGCCATAGTGCTTTCTGTTTTTCTTTGACTTATGTTTTTTTGTTCTTCTGCCTCTTTTTAAAATATACAATATTTTGACCTTTATGCCTTATGTGAATTTTTCTCTATGAAATACTTTTCTAGTATAATGAAGACAAACAGTTGATATCTACATGTTGTAATGTTGTATTTCAGATGTTAATTACTTTCGTATGACACCTGCCAAACCAAACACAGCTTTAATTGAGTCGGTTTCTGTGGCTTCACCAAGCACAGGAGTTTACGATATCACACTTGTACCACACGATTGTGGCAGTGACTTCCCTTTATTTAAAAAGATTCAGGGCCAGGTTAGATCTGGAGGATCAATATCTGTAACCAGGACACAACCAGCTTCACCACCCATTACTGGTTCATTCAGTGTAACATTTAAAAGTAAAACAAAATCTGGTAAATATAATTATCACACTTAATCTTTTGAATGGTGTTAATAATTGAATTTGAAAATGAAAGTTGAATGAGTCATTTGTTAAGTATCATTTGTATTATTAGCTTGTTTGCAGTAGAATTTTTAATCTTTAAAAGTACAACACACCATTTTTCTATTATTTTTAGAAAGTGAAATTGTTCAGGTGTCTGCAAGATGTGTTAGAATTTTTTTTCTTTTGCAAACTGAGATGTAACACATGCAGTGAAGGTTTTCTTTAAATACCAATCTATTTCCTTCAGGAATTTCATATGATATGGATGAAACAGAACTTACCACTATGCTTGAGACTATAGAAGGAATTGGTAATGTCAAGGTCACAAGGACAGGAGTATGTTCCAACTTTGATATTACCATTTCTCTTGAATCATTACCAGGAGATCAGCCAGATTTCATAGTAAGTTTTATCATCACATAGGCTTTTCCTGTTCACTTTATTGTTATTTGACAATATTCCAGCACAGACATTAAATGTTTTTTGATTATATCATAAGGTGAAAATGTTGAATACTATATGAATGAAATATTTTCTTGAACTTGTACAATGCTAATTGAGTTTTGATATATATATATATATATATATTTAGAGATTGGTTGTTATGTTGGCTCCTCTTTACTCAATTATTTATTCTTGCTCTTGCTCTTGACACAAATTTAGAAGTAAGCCCTACAAGTATACTAAAAAGATATTTAATTATTTTATTTTTATTATTGATATCAACATCAATTATTCGTTATAGCCCTTTTTAATTTGTGATTGAATCTGTTAGGTTGATGACAGTACATTGTTTGGTAAAGATGTTGCAGCAACAGTACAAACTTTACAAGATGGTGGACTTTGGTATGATCCAATTCCCGGGGATATGCTACGTACTGACCATGATCTACCACAGGTGAGTGTTGTATAGACAACTTTGTTAATTTTTCAAAGAAATTGCAATCCTTAAAGCCAAGTAAAAGTAATTGAAATAAAGCATAATTTTGCAGTAAAGGATGATATTCATATCTTATTGAATAAAAAACAATGAAAGAAAAATTATAAACTCATTGGATCAATTATAGAAATTCAACTCATTTAAAACTTATCTTTTTTACAATTATGCCTTCAAGTTGACCAATCAGTAATGTCCAAATTTACTGTGTTATTATAATGTATCTCCATTTTTGAATGGCCCATTGATTTATAATGATTTAGACTATTTTTATTAACACAATTTATATTACTGTCTTGGTAAAGGTTATGGTATATGTAAATGGTATTCCTACTATTTGTGAAGGAGATTGTACATTTGAGTGGAGTTCAAATAGTTCACCTACTGTCACAGCCATCAGTCCAACATCAGGTAATATAATCATTTATTATATTTATTATTTTGAAATTTATAAACCTATTTGCAGGCTACAGACTGCCTGTAATATATCAAAGTTCTATTTTTGATACTAATTTTTTTAGTAATTCACTGAAATCCATTAATGGAGAAAAGGTGTAGTAAAAAAATGTTATGCATGAGGTATGTTAATTCAGATGTGTTTCTGTTATTTGATTATGTATTCAAATATTTTTTAGAAATTATTACCTTTATAAATAATTCCACATAATGACTTTTTTGTTATAGGTGGCCCAGGAACATCTGTTGTAGTC